GGCAGCTCTCTCCCTGCTCTTCCCTCACTATTCCTCCCTCGCCCTACCCCACCTCCTTCCCTGTTACCCACTCTCTATGCCTACCTTCTCTGAGCAGGCAGAGTCCATGGGAGTCCTCACTGTCTGCTCTGTATTGGCTCCTGCAGTCCTCCCAGCTCCTCTCCCAGCTCCAGCTGCCATGCCCCGCGCAGCACTGCCTGCTGGGAGGGTGTGACGTCACATCCTGCCCCTCTCCCTACTCAATCCCCCCTGGGGCTGGCAGACATGCTTTGCTGTCTTTGGACTCAGGGCTGATGTAATAGGTAGCACTCTTCCACCATGGCCACTGAGAAGCCCACTCGTCCTGCTAGCCTTCTCCCCCACTCCAACAAGCAATGTTGATGTATGCTGGAGGGGCGACCTTAAAAAAAAAAAAAAAAAGGACCTCCCCCCTCCCTTTCAAGCCATAGGAGCAGGTAATTAGCCCTTTAACCCAGGGATGGGGAACATTTGGTCCTCCAGATGTTTGGGACTACATCTCCCACAATGCTCTTACAGCCATAATGCTGTCAGAGTATCATGGGAATTGTAGTCCACAACATCTGCAGGGCCGAACGTTCCCCATCCCTGCTTTAACCCTTTAAGGACTGAGGCAGTTGTGCCTCGATCACAGCCCAGCATCTATTACAGTCAGCAGGGGGGTGCATGTAGGGAAACCCTTTTTTGGTCTTTTCAGATACGCGCGGGACAAGCTTCATCCACCATGGCTCCTAAAGCGAATGGCAACAGAATCACTGGATGGCATCTCGAATCCAGGAGAAACTGAATAACTCCTCTTCTGAGAAGGATAACAAGCTGAGTTCTTCCAAGGGAGACTTTAACAAGCTTTAGCAAGTATCTGACAGCTTTCAGCGACTGATGAAGCTGTTGTGGAAGAAGAAATTCATACTATTGAGGGATGTGTCAAGACAGTGGAGGAAGATCAAAACCCTTACTGCTGAGCTTCACCGAGTCCAAATGTCTCTGGCCAACACACTAAATGCCATGTAAGACAGGCATAAAAAGGTAAAAATGTGAAAATAAGAGTCATATCTGAAGATGCGGGTCCTGGTGAGCTTCCACGTTAGATCAGGGGACAGGCCAAAGTTTATGGAGTGTTTCATATTCCTAAAGCGACAGCTGAAGACTCTTCAATGGACATTCTAGTCCAATTTCAAACTAGGTCCATGCAAGTTACTTTTATGTCACCCTTTCCTCGCACTCCTTGGTTTGTTTATTTTTTAAGATTTGTTAAGGTCGACTCTACTCTGGAGACAGCTGTTTAGGCCACTCACTACTGTGCTTTTTGCGCATTCCATTCATTAGCCTACCCTTGGTAACTAGTTTGTTATATTATAAAGGCGACACTACTTTAAAAAGATTTCTACCGTCTCTGTGTTAGCACTGGGACTGCAACATAATACAGACCCTATGGTCACATCCCTTGATCCAAAATCGTGTCCTTCCACCTATTCTTTCACAGTGGGTTCACGCACGACCACTCATTTAACAGCAGCAACTGGCCAATGAAAAACAATTTGCTTATCGCCAAAAACCTTATGTGGTTGAGACTTGTACTTGGGGGAAATCTACAAACATAACAGTTCATTTGTGGGCGGTGTTATTCTCTCACATTTTGCCATTTTTTATGTTTTATCACATGGTATGACAAAACCACAGTTCTACCACAATGCAGAGACATTAAACTCAATTTTGCACTTAAGAGCTAAAGTCACACTCCCTGCATTTTCCCCTGTCCTTCATAAGGCACAGCTCTAAAGCGCCCCCTCACTCAAACCTAGCTGGTTACCAAGTCTTGCAGGTAGAGCAGCAAGTCACCTACCAGTCACTTTGGCCAACCGCATGGAGCTCTCCATTAGACCAGCCAGATAAGACTTTAACTGGTGACAATTCAACACTGTTACTGTGATAAGAGCCCTCTTTTGCTCGAACTGACTGCTATCAGGGGAAATATGAGGTCTGGGGGTTATTTGTGTCATTTCATATGTGTTTGAGTATAGTGTAATGTAGCCTTAATGTCTGGGGGATAATTAGCTTAGCGGTTACAGATCTAGTTATCTCCCAGACTCAGAGGCAGCAGGGTGGAATTTACATTGGTCAAGCCATTGGAGCCTTGTCTATAAAAGTGTGCCTTGTTCTCAATAAATCAGTTCTTTCCTCCTTGCACACACTTCCAGTGCCTAGTTTGCAGCCTAGTGCAGTGATGGCGAAGCTTTTTGAGCCCGAGTGCCCAAACTGCAATACATGCCAACTTTTTTCCCCTCAAAGTGTCAACACGGCACTTAAACCTGAATACTGAGATTTAAGTTTAGAAATAACTCGTACAGAAGCGACACAGCCATCCCTGGTGGTCGGTGGAGGTAAGTACTGTATGCCTAGGAAGCAGCTCTCCTGTACTCCCGCGCGATGCTGTGTGGAGCGTTGCCATGGTAATGCGCGGCAACACTCGACACAGATTGATTGCGGGAGGAAAGGAGAGCTGCTTCCTAGATCTCTCCCCCTGCCTCTGGCCATGGAAGCAGAGTAGGTGCCTGCTGTTTTGGGCAGGCAGGCGCCTACTCTGCATTGATGCAGACAGACAGCGGCCCCCTCCCCCGGCGACCTATGACCGTGTGCCCAAAGAGAGGGCCCGCCGTGCCATAGGTTCACCATCACTGGCCTAGTGCAACAGATGGGGCACAAAGATTTTTTTTTTTTTTTTTATAAAGAAAAGCTAATTTAGGTAGTTAGTGTATAAACATCTAGTTACATAGCAATTCATTCAGAAATTTACAATGGTATCCAGTAAACAGCAAATTACAAATGGCAACATTTAGACTAAATGTGGCAATAGAGTTGTAGAATTTCTTTCCACCAGCTGTTTGCCTTATTTTTGCCATTCAGATTTTATTTGCAAAAAGTTAGTATTCAATGAATAAATAAAAATTATCCCACTATAGCATATCTACCCTCACTAGCGCTCTAGTTTTTTTTGTTCTTTGGCAATTAATTGTTAATGAGCGCAGTGGTAGTTTTGGCTCTGTCTCATCATTCATGAAGCTTTACCATACACGTAGCATTGCCACTGGTGTAATGTTCAAAAGCCAGTCTGGCCCCTTCAAACCTGTACATCAAAACCATTTCATTAATCTAAAGTTGTTATGGTGATTTTAGTGTCCCTTTACGAGCTAAAGTCATGTCCCTTGTTCACCCCCTGTTTTTCATAAAATGGAAGCAGATAAGGCAGTTTTAGATTACACATAGAAATTTGGTGATACCCATTCCAACATCAAGATCACCAGTACTATAGGTATGACTGTGAAACTTTCAGATTCTATAGTAGCACAGTGCTACAGAATAAATAAATGAAAAAAAACGGTAACCACTACTACTACTACTACTTCTTCCACCAGTTACAACAGCAGTGGAAGGACTACAATCAGTAGTAGGTGCTGGAGTAGAACAGTAAATAGATGTGACTCAAATTATAGGTCAGAGGACATGGAAGCATGGTAGCAGCAAGGCTTCACTTTGCAGTTAGTTTACTCTTTCGCCATTACATCCTTGTTAGCCACAGCACACTGATGGCAAGTAGTATCAGAGTGAGTGTCACCTTTCACCACCACTAGTTCTATGGTTAGCATCACCAGCAATGACACAACACAGTACCTTAATCACCACCAGCAAAAGTAGGCAACCATGGCAAACCATCGGTCAACAAAGGCATGTTTGGCCATCATTATCACAATAGCCCATCTGAGCCCAGCCTGGAGTTAAAGTGATATAAATTCTAAGAGGGTGTCCAAACAGCAGGCCAAGATAATTGCACACCTTATAGATCAGTTGATAGAGCTTACCGTTTATGATGGAAGCAAATTATATTAGCATGGATATAGTCCTACATTGCACTGGTAAATAAAGAGCGGGCTTAGGCGGTTGATTAAATAATACACTTAACTTGGGTACAGAGTGCTTCGAATGGTCTTCCTGTCATTTCCAGCACACTGGTGGCAGCCAAACATGGCTGAGGAGAATACAGCTAGTGGTACAGATTAGCAGTAGTGAAAATACCACCTTCCTAATGAGGTCCACGATGAGTAGCACCCTGATGACACTAGCAGTAACAAGACTAGCAGTGGAAACAGAAGCAGTAGAATGCAAGTATTTCCCACAATAAGATACGGATACATAGTACAACTACTTTAGAGATGCTCGAGACAATTTTTGAGCAGCAGAAAGCAATTCACACAATGTTATCAAATCACTTCATGAAGATCAGATGCCCAGTGGTAAGGGAGCAATGGACACGCATAGCTTAAAAAGGGATACTATAGGGCAAAGAATATTTATGCCAGTGTCCCTTAGCACTGGGTCATAATAGCTCAGTCTCCTCGGATGTCGCACCACACGGGGGTGCTAACACGCATGCACAATGATTGCCGTGTGCACATTAGGACCTCCATCTAGGAAAGCATTAAATCAAACAGTTTTACAGGCACTAAAGTTTTCCTTTAATAAGCAAGCAACTCCGTAACTATAGCTTGCATTAAGACTATCACCTACTTCTTTATCAGTGATGGCTAACCTTGACACCATAGATTGTTTCTGGACTACATTTCCCATGGTGCTCAGCTAGCTTTTAAACTCTAAAATCTAGCTGAGCATCATGGGAAATGTAGTCCAGAAACAATTTATGGTGTCAAGGTTAGCCATCATTGCTCTATATGCTGATACTAGTGAAATTAACTCATATGGTCCAATGCTGCTGTATTCTGTTGCCAGTCAGGAACATGCTGTTCACTTAATAGAAAATTCCAACCCTGTTGCACCATACATGGTAAAAGATTCCATCACCAGATACAGTCAAATTTATTCCATACACAGATCAACTCCAGTCTACACCAACCACCTTCATCTGTTTATACATAGAAATAAATACAAATAAAAAAAAATATATATATATATTTATTTTACCTTTGAGCACACAAAATTACATTGCATGTGTCAACAGTATTTAGTCAACACCCGATCAAGCTTCTGAGCATTTCTTAAAAATGATGGGATATACACCAACATAAGATGCATATGCAACTGCAGCAATATGGAAGGCAGCCAGATGGATACCTAATGGTTTCATTGAACATCAAAATATACTGCATGTGAATAAACGAAAAGCTGGAAGTTATCTACAGAGCAGACATAAACTTGATGAATTTCTAAAGTTGGTTATTTTGGTCAAAGTTGGAATAGTTTTGTAACTAAAACACAGTCAGGACTACACAGAGCATTTTGGGATGTGCAGTCTGAATGCAATTTATATTTGAAGGGACACTCCACTGTCCAGATATACAAAAAAAAATATTTAGTAGATACACCCCAACAGGTATTTCGTTATGCATTTCTTTATTGTGGGCATATTTAAAAACAGCTTGCAAATGTTGCAGTTCTCGTCTACTGCTTTTGCACACCTTCCCCTTCTAATCCACCTCAGACTTTCTGTGGATGTCCAATCATAGGCTTCCCAATACAGTTCAATGAAAAGGTAGGGGCTCTGGGCAATTGCTGCCTCGAGTTTAGCTCCATTGAGCAAATCAAACCAGGAAGTAACAGGACCTGTTGTCTGCTTAAAAAGCCACGGGTGTAACAAGGTCAATTTATATAAAAAAAAGAGTGCCAATATAAAATGTGAGGAGGTTAGGGAGTTTTAATTAAAATGGGACAAAGTTTGGATGAGCAGTATTGCCTGTGCGCCAGAGTTAAATTTTTATCAGCAGGCATGTGGCATCTTTCACATTTTATAGAATGTACGCAAATGCCACACTTTGCATACCTCTAGCTGTCCATTTTGTCATACAGGCTTAATTCTAGTGAAGGGTTACTTTACACCTAACTACTGAGGTCTTCTGGTTACCCTAAGCACCAAGAACCTGGCCCCTTTCCAAAATTTATATCGCAACTCAAAAGTGTAACTCCTGTAACAGATCAAGCAAAAGATGCAGTATTTGAGCCAAACCTCACCAAGAGCCATGGAAAAACACTAGGGGGCAGAATACCCCATATGAATGCACATTCTGTTATTTATGGGTAATGAAACTAGTGGAAGCACAAAACATTTGCCACGGTGTTTCCCATTGTATAATTTGTGCAAATCAGGGGCTACTAAAAGAACCATACCGGAAAAGAAATGTATTTGTCCAATTCTGAAAATACCTCATATGCCCAAAATGTATCTATTTTGACATATATAGGTTACAAACACCACATTAAAAGGTTAGAATTTTTTTTGACAGGACCTTATAAACCCCTGCTTTAAAAGAAACACTGTAAGAGCTTTGTCACTGATGCAGGTATAGTGTCTGGAGTCTCACTACTGTCCTTTCTTTCAGCATTTAACCATTTTCAATAGTTCTGTTCTTTTACGCTCAATCCCTTTGGTTCTTTGTTGGGTAGCTCCCTGGTCTTCTCTGCCTCCAGTCCTGCTCTGGTCTCCCTTCTTACACCCAGGCAGTGAGAGAAGACTAGAGGACCTAGGAGCCCCCTATTTCAGACTCAAGATCCCCTCTCCCACTTTGGCATCAGATTTCGGATTCAGGACATCAGCCCTGCATTCAGGTAAGTTCAGTACTGCGGGAGGGAGGATGCCAGGGAGGGGGGCACTGTCGGGACCTATAGTGCCAGGAAAACAGCTTTTTTTTGGCACTATAGGATCCTGCAAGGTCTGGCAAGCTTTAACAGAGCAGGAGATAAACTCTAAAACAGAATTTGCAATAATGGAAGTGTAAACACTAGACGACTCTTTACAGGAATGGTTTGGGAAGGCAATGTTTGGCACATGCAGGGAGGTGTGACTAGGACTGCACAAACAAAGTGATTTAATTCCTAAATGGCAGAGAATTGAGCAGTGAGACTGCATGGGGCATAATCTATACACCAAACTTTCTTCATTAAGGTAAAGTTTTGATGACAATAGTGTCCCTTTAACTCTACCTAAAATCCACAGACTTAAAGGAACACAAACATGCATTCATGACCCTATAGTACTAAAAACCATTTAGGTGGCTTCCCCCTTCCCCCAAAGCAATTAAAAACACATTATTTCCAGCGCCACGCTGGTCTGCTGCACTGGCCCTGGCCCCTTGGTGATATTAGAATTGCAGATTTTTAGCCAATCCAATGCTTTCCCGTAGGGAAAGCATTGGATTGGCTAAAATTTGTCAAGGGGCAGGGCCAAAATATTGTTTTGGACAATCAGCACCTCCATTGAATCAATGCTTCTCTATGTGGAAAATTCAGCATCCCCCTGCATAGAGACACCAACAGTAGTGCTGCCTACTGTGCAGCACTGAGCCAGGAAGCACCTCCAGTGGCCACTTGGAGGTGTCTCTAGAGGCATTGTAAACACTGCAATGCGTGCATTAAAATGCCTGAAGGCAATGAGTATACTCACCAGAACAACTACATTAAGCTATAGTTGTTCTGGCAACTATAGTGTCCCTTTAACCCTACACCAACTCCAAAGCCAACTGTGCTGACATCAGCAGAACAATTTCCCAATTTACACAGTACAGAGGGAATATTCCTCATGTTCCAGTTACTGGAGCAGTAACTGTAGCTTATACCGTTGGCTGGATAGTATGCCAGGAACACCTGATCAGGGTCTTCTCAGAGCACATGGGTTACCCAGTCTTCAGGGCAATCTAGGAATCAACATTGATATTATACACATTTTAATTACAATTATTTACAGAAACCTCCACATTTGCAATGATTTCAGGAGAGTGAGAAAAAAAAAAAAAAAAAGTCTCTTGTATGAGAACATAAAAAACATTTACATACCTGCCTGATACACCCCTGTCAACTTCAATTTACGTGCTAGAATGTGCTTGCAATTTTTGCCATGGATGAAAAACCAGTCAGATCATTTCCTCGCACAACTGCATATACCATATTATCTGCTACTATGGCACTGGTACATACATAAAAAGCCCCGCAGTGCAGAGTAGATTTATGGGACACTACAATTCTCCATCCCATACACAGGCGGAGGTCTAAAGCTTTCCTATAATGAATCTAGCATTTTATAACTATAAAAAAAAATGTTTTAATAAAACACAGAGCAGAAGTTATTCATAGCTTACAGAGGAAATAAAAAAAATACAAAAGAGTACTGTTTTTAATGAGGGGAAAAAAAAAAAAAAACATAAAAGCGCACAGTACAAAAAAAAAAAAAAAAAAAGAGAAAAATACATTCATTTATTAAGCGCCTGTTTTCTTCACAAGGAACAAAGTTACTAGATCATAAAATTGTGTATATATTTTATGAAAATTGGCACTATTAAACCCCCAGAGCTATACAAAACACTAGACCAACTTATTGCCTTATACTGTCTTACAGTACAAGGCACAGGCCATAGCTAAAACGGGAGAGAAATATAAATTTGAAAAAAAAATAAATCAAAATTATATAATTTACATGTAGAAAAAAAAAAATCAAAAACAATGTTAAATCCAAAGTTTTCTTCAGTTGTATTAAATAAAATGTAATACAAAGTCAGTCTTAGTATATTAAGTTAAGGAACAGGGGAAGAGAAAAAAATAAAATCTTAAGATGAGCACAGATCATAAGTTAAACATAAAAAGTATATTCTACGGATCAGCCATCCTGATAAATATGACAAATTAATATTGTTAAGCAATAAATATAATTGATAATTTAAATAAGTTCATATTCTTGTGCATTGATAAGCAAATAATTATTGCTCTCCCATTTAAATGCTACACAAAATTAAAAAAAA